ATCTTCGTTTGGAATTCCAGTCGAATATATTGGACAAACCTCATGTATGCAGCGTTAAGGTCGACATAGTATATCTTTTCATCTGAGTCGAACTTGTCGCAACCAATTGGTCCAGTTTGTGGAAATTCAAGTGAGTCTCTTATCTTCTGAGAAACTTCTCCTGTTATCTCATAAACATCGTCGAAGCAACCTGTTTCATATAAAACCTTCTGACCTAACTCAGATGCTCTCCAATACAATTTGACGTCAATTGGATGTCTCAATGGAAGTTTGTTTATAGCATCTTGAAGTTCTTGCAACCTCATTGGAAGTTCTTCTGGTTCAGGTTGGTATCCGAACATACCAACCCCTTGTGGAACTGTGTACTTCTTTTGTACTAGAACTTTGTCTGGAACAACTTTTGGTCTTGCTAACAATGAAAAGTTTGTTTCGTCTTTTGGTACAAAAGTTTCTGTCAGCTTGTCATCTGGGATTGGTTCCAACAAACCTTTCTCGAAAAGAATGTTTACAGCTCTGACAACGTTGCACTTACTTTTACCAAAGAATGGGTTTGTAAGACTTTCGTTCAACATGAAGTGGTTGTGGACAATTACAATCTTCAACCATGGTAAGTCTTTGTCAACAACATAGTCGTCATGTGAAGAACCTTTAGCTGTAGGTATGTTGACTCGGATATTGACATTTGCCAACGGTGCAATTTTTGCCAATTGACCTCTGAGAATGTACCTTGTCTTCACACATGACTCAAGATACTTCATCTTCTCATCTGTAACAAGACCAGAGTTCCTGAGACATGTAAGAATGCAAGGTTCGTTGACAATTGTTTCAATTGAATTGTAAATTCCATACCTTGTCAAGCCAATGTCAGACTTATTTATGAAGGGGAAGTATCCAGCATGTTGTCTGACTGCTTGAGGGTTAGGTTGGTACCATTCGAACTTGACACTTGCAATTCCTTCAATTGCATTCAAAATGTCTGAGTCGGAGTCAACCATTTGTTCTCTCTTTGTAGTCTTGAAAGCGTCAAGAAGTTTTGCGGCTGTTTGTTCATTGCCATGTGCATAGTAAATGTGACCATCCAAATCTGTTATGGTCAATCTGAGATTGTGTCCTTTCTTATTTCCGTCTTGAATTGCAGCAAGTACTCCCATGAAGCCTTCTTTGTTCTTTCCTTCGTCAAAGTTTACTGTAAAGGTTCGACCAGATGTAATTTGACTTCTAACTTCACGATACTTTTCATATGCATATCTTGTTCTTTCCATGGGAGCATGTGCGTCTTCACCTTTTCCTTTTTCCTTCTCAAAGGATGCAATTGTTCGTCATGTTTCCAGTAGAATCTGGCAAAGCCGTTGTGTCCTTCAACTTGAGGTTCACTAACATCGAAAGGCATGTCCATAAGACGTTCTTCTTCTAACCTCTCTAGTCTGTTTGAATAATTGGCACGTGGGTCTTCCTTTCTTATATTTAAACTTCTTCGAAACTCTCCAACCATATCTTTGCAACTCTGCTTTTATTCTAGCAGACTTTCTGTCCATTCTATATGGGGGCATTTTTATAAAAATAAAAAAATATTTTTTTCTTTACTTTACATAACCGCCTGCTGCTATCAGTCTTTGACGCCAACCCATACCAGCTAATGAAGGTTGACTTGGTTTAGTTTGGAAACTAAACTTTGGTTTTGGTTTATCTTCAGTTTTTGGTTTTTCTTCTTCTATCGGTTTTTCGTCACTTTTCGGTTCCTCTGACTTTACTTCACTTGCAGGAACAGTTGTGTCGTCAACATCTTCATAAATATCATATGCCATTTGTTTTTGTTTTCCTTTCAACTTTTTGTGTTTGTTGTAAAGTTTAGAATATTTCGACTCTAAGTCAATGAGATGTTCTATAATGAACTGTTGGTCAGTGAAGTAAACTTTTCCATCTGTTGTCTCGAAAGCTCCTTCAGACTTCAATATTTTATTTGTGAGAGTCTGTTTCTTTTTTGAGATACTAGCCGTTCCATTTCTATGAAAAGTGACTTTATAGTTAGGGTTTGTATTTCCAGACCCGGCACTTTCTATTATTGAATTTTTCTCTTCATCTGTAAGTTCTTTGACAGGTTTTGACAATGGTTCTGAACTTTTTGTTTGTGGTGTCAAATCTACCGTTTCAACTTCTTCGGTCATTTCATCTCAGTAAAAAAATTTAATTTGGTTTGTTTTCAACTGGTTGTTTAGGTTTTTTAAGTCGATCTAAAACTTCCTGAAGTATAGGAAGAACTTTACAAACACGTAGTGTAAAAGGTGGTCTTCCATGACTTATTCTGTTTAAAGCTGCATTGTTCATTTCATCTCAATAAAAAACTTTACATTCTCCACGTTTGAGGCGGTTGAGGTTGGTTATTGTTTACCCACTGTTGTGCATGGTTATATCCTCTGTTAAAGAATCTTTCACCTTGGTCCATATAGTGTCCTGCTTGGTTATAGTAGTCATTTGCTTTGTTATAATAGTTTCCTGCTTGTCTTCCTACATTGTCCATCCATCCTTGAACTTTTCCTCTTGTTTCAGGATAATCTGAGGAGTAGTCTGAGGATAATCTGAAGACTAGTCTGAGGATAATCTGAGGAGTAGTCTGAGGACTAGTATGAGGATAATCTGAGGATAATCTGAGGACTCGTCTGAGGATAATCTGAGGAGTAGTCTGAGGATAGACTGAGGATAACCTGAGGAGGATTAATCTAAGGAGGATTAATCAAAGGAGAAATACTCTAAGGTAGAGCAGTTGGATCACTACTCAACCACAATTTACTTTTAACCATTTTTTGAATTCTTATTCAAAATAAAAACGCATTTTTATATAATTCTCTTATTTATTTTAATTTGATAATATTTATTGATTATATTTCAGATCACTCAATTAAAAAAAGCCGTCTTTCTTTCAAAATTTCTGAATTATTATCCTTTCAATTTTAATGAATAAAATCATATTTATTCTTCTTTAAAACACTTCATTTCTTTAATTGTAGTGTTGCTTACTGCAACACTTAAACCAATTGTGGATTCCATTGAATGGCCTTCAATGGAATTCACAATTAGTTTAAAATTAGTTGATGCATATCCTATGTATGGTCCTAATATGGTCTGGCCAACCATATTCTAGTTGGAAATACATAGGATAGTATCACTAATCAATACAATACATAACAAAGTTAAATGCGAAAACAAAATCAAATTACAAAATCGTTCAAAACGAAGAATGAATACAAAAACACCTATGCACTGAGACTGGCCACCTCAGTGCATTTCGAATAAACATACAAGTATAGGGTGTCCAAAGGTGCGTTTAGCACAGCGCTCTATATGAGACTATTAAAGGAGATATATGCTGATTATAAATATATAATAAAAAATATGAATATATGTATATGATGAGTATGTTGTATTTTGGCGCCATGCCGGGATATAAAATGAATTTTGAGACAAGAGGCGGTTTCGCGGGAAATTTTGGCGGGATTTTTTTCATTTTTTTAATGAATCATAAAGAAAACATCCTCGCTCTTGCAAAAAAATGCAAAGACTGTAAAAAAATCTACGAGACATTGGTAAAATGCTTCGGTATGGATGCTCCTAGCTATTCCACTGTAACGTATCATGTTAGGATGTATCACTTCATGAACAAAAAGGCTCCCATCATAAAAATTGACAAAAAATCACCGGATCAAAGAAAAATCAAAGCAATTCTTCAAGCGCTAGATGAAGACCCAAGAGCATCACTCAGAAGGATAGAGGAGATGACAAAGATACCACGTACACACAGTCAGTTATTATCTGCACAATTATTTGAACTACAAACTAGCGTATACACGTTGGGTTCCGCACAACCTTAATTCAGTTCAAAAAAAATCTAGAGTCCAATCTTCGAAAGAGCTCCTCTCTATATTGGGTGCGTATCAATCCAAGAAGTTTCGCTTTTTAGTAACAGGGGACGAGTCTTGGTTTCAATATGCAACAGAAGCCAAAATCATGTGGATCCCGAAGGATGAAAATCCCAAACATTCCCGAAGAAAAAAATTGACACACCAATGATGATGTTGTCGGTTTTTTGGGGCGTGAATGGCATCATCACAATTGATATTCTTCAAAAACCTAATACGATGAATGCTCAGTATCTAATTGACAATGTTCTTACTCAAATTATCAATTCTGATGAGTTTGAGAAATCCAAACAACAAAAACAAAAGTTTGCAATTCATTTTGATAATTCAAGAGTTCACAAAAGTCATAAGGTAATGAATTACTTGGTGGAAAACAATGTCAAAGTTGTTCCAAACCCAATTTATTCACCTGATATTGCACCCTCTGACTTTTATTTATTCGGCACGCTAAAAAAGAGAACTGAAGGACGCGAATTCGCGAGTCCAGATGATCTTGAAAATTTTGTAAGAGAGCAATTTGAGCAATTTTCGCATGATGATTTAAAGCGTGTCTTTCAAGCCTGGATCGATCGCTGCGAACGCGTGATTGAATCCAATGGTGATTATATTTAAATAAACTTTATATATATGTAACTTGTTTATTTCTATTCGCAGTATTCAGGTTTGTGCTAAACACACCTTTGGACACCCTATATATACAATTTAAAAAAAAATATTTTATAATTTTTACAAAGACAAGAGCAACTATGTTTGCCAACTAGCTCCCTTCATGATCTTTAGCCTAGCGTCCATTAATTCCTTACTCATGTTTAAATTTGAACAAGTTAAGATGAGACGCGGGGCTGAGATTGTTCTTTCACAGCTTGCCTCCGCACAAGTGCAGCAAGTTATGCGGAGGCATATATTTGCGAACAATCCCCAATTTTCATCATTGATTTTAAAATTAAAATCAAAAATGTCCAAGCCACTTACAGTTCTTGATGTTTTAAAGATATGATTGTTATTGGCAATCATATCTTTAAATAGTTTAACTATATCATCAATCACATCATCACTACGTCCTCTTTTTTTGAGTTCGCTTGTGAATCAGCTAATTGCAGCATCAACCATCGGAGAATCACAGAGCTCTTCACCCTCAGTATCATCATTACTCTCATGAACTTCTTCCTGCTCATGAAGATCTTCATTGAATCTATTAAGATCCTGGGCTGGCCAATTGTGCTTCAACGAGGGTGCTGGTGGTTCGGTGTTTCCTTCTGCTTCAGCGGCGGCGTCTCCCATGAAGATTTCCCTGACATCTTCTATCGGGTCTTCCTCTTTCTGCCGGTAGTGGAACATCTTCACGTAGCCGCTTGTTGGGGGAGGGAATTCTCTGCTATTGATACTGTTCCTAGCAAACATGAGGCCTTTGGGTGTAATGATGTATGCAAATGCCCAAAGGCCTCCCATTTGCGAATGAATGGTCTTCTCAAGCAAGATGTCCCTAAAGATTCTGGCGAATCTGTTGTTTTCGGCATCAAGCTCTTCCAGGGCCTTCATTGCATTATAGATGCAAGGATAGACCCTGGAAAGTGGAGACTTCGGGTCTTCGAAGATCAGGACCAAGCTGGCGAAGATGACGGAACACTTATAAAGATCTTCTGTTCCGTCAGGAATGGAATGGAATAATGTCACCTTCGCCCGCTTGGTCCAGATAAAATGGAGAGGATAGATGAAGGATACCCATCTTGTTTCGACATTGGATGGGCATCTTGATCCAAAAACCTCGACATGCTGGCGGCATATTTCGGCAACTTCCAGCAATTGATCCTTCAATGGTGAAATTGCTGGATGGTTCATTGCCGCCTTATAAGCATTGTGTACCCTGTGGCAAATGCAGGGTACAACAATGATTTCCTTCATCCATTGCACCTTGGATAAGGCAAGGATGGAATTATCCTTACCAGTAAGTGCAGCCAATTGTGCTGTTCCTCCATCAACTATGACACAGCCGATCTGCACGTGACAATCATGGATTGCCTTCAATCCATTATTGATCGCGAGTGTGTAGTTGGCAGTCTTCAATCCAGTCATTCTTTCTGTATGGGCTGGATAAGACTGAATTGGAAAGCAAGGATTTTCCAACACAAAGTCGAGTAAAGATCTCTTCTGTGTGGTAACTTCGTCTAGAGCGACACTAGCGTAAGGCATGCTGAACGTAGAGAAGCGCGCCATAATACTTGAATGAATCTCTTTGGATGTCTGTATGAGTATATCTTTGAGCTTATCGCGCTTGTAATGAGGGATTTTTTCCATTCCAACTTGTATTGCAGTTTTTCCATTCTCCTTTGATGTTGTATAGCCTAAACAAAAGCTATACACAATTAAGTTGTATATTTCGTCACTTTCCCCTGTGCTGAGAGAGATATTATGCTTTGCTAATAGGATAGCTAATCTGCGAAAAATTCCATCAGCATTAAATTCAACAGAACCTTCCATTTGTGATTCTGTAGATAATATAAAATTTCGAATATCTTTTTGTTTTGCACTATCAGGGAAACATTCATGAAGCTTCCCATTGCTGATTTCTTTTTTTAGGTGATCATCTCTTTTTTTAAAGGCGCATCTGAATGAATCTCCATCTTGGGTGGGAACCTGAGCAGTACAACCCATAATCCAATGTTTGGATTTTGCATTATACTCTAATTTTTCATAAGTCCTTTCATCACCAGGATATTTTCAATATCTGGAATTTGTCATTGCTTATATAAAAATGATTAAATTTGTGTCTTTTTTAATTTTTTACACAATATACTTAAAATACTATTTTCAACATTTTTTAAAATAAAAATTTTAAAATAATCTCTAAGAAAAAATTCTATTTGTGTTATTGTTACATTCATAACATCATCTAGAGTGATATAAACTAAGTATCAATATTTTGAAATTGAACACGCCAAAAATTTGATAATCCACATTCAATATTTTGTAAGTGGCGTACTTTTTGAATACTCGCCATACGCCTTGGAGTTCTCAATTTTGAATTCGCCTTTATTTGGGCGACCTCAGAAAAATACGCCATTAAGAAAATATTGTATGAGATTTTAAATTTGAACACGCTCTACCTTAAGGAATTAAATTTATTAAGATATATTTACATATAATAAACGAGTGCTTAAAAAATGTATTTAATCGCTTATGTAAGTTCCAAAAAAATCACGAAAATAAAAAAATCAAGATTAAAATTTTATTTTTAATTTTTGAATTTCTCAAATGGCGAAATTTTTGGGCGAACAAAAAAAATGTACGCCCGGTCAAATGGCGTAATTAGCGCATCCCTAAAGGAAAGCATTTAGGTTTTGTCGTCTTTTCTCAATAGAGAATATAAATAATAATGATTGCATTTACTTGATTTAAATAATATTCATATTTACTAATATATAATATAAATACAGTTTATAATATAGAAACTAAAATAGATCTCAAAAATACTCTGATTTTATCAGAAGAATGAACTGAAGGAAGTTCCCATAAACCAAGATCTCTGTTTGTTAACAATTCGAGTAAGACAACTTGTAATCCCCAAGGAAGAGGAGAGTAAGGAGATCTCCTTATCACAACTGATGCAATCAATTCCTTCAGATTATATCCTTCAATTGTCACTGCATTCATTGAGAAAATTTCAACAATTAACTTTGCAAAGAAATGAGAATTTCTGCTTGGATATCTTAACAAATCACACAACACTTCTATTATGTAATTTGATGTTTCAATGTCACATGAAACTAAAAGATAAAAAATCAAATTAAATATTGGTAAATTCTTGAAATGACATCTTGGAGCTGATCCTTGTCTTGGCGAGAAAGTCAATTCGAAACAACTATCAATGACTTTTGCAATCATTTTCTTGTTGTTTGTTACATAAACTTTGATTGTTTCTAAGTCTTTTACATCGATTTGTTCCGAATCTTGTTCGCTTTCATTTTTATTTTGTTTATCAATCATTTTCTCTAGAATATTCGCAATGTCTTTCGTCAAATACTGCAATGCAGGACTTAATGGATACGATATCTGATGGACATCAGGGATTTTGTCGATTTTCATATCGATTTTCGATGGAGAAATCATTAAAACACCATTTGAAGCAGCACAAAGAATTAAATTCCTCAATTGCGAGAAATTAAATGGCAACAAATTGCAGAAAATAGAAGCAGAACTTGACATGAAATCAGGGAAATCGTGGAGCAAAATCAATACAAATCTCAACAAACTTCGATATAAAATCTGAAATGTTGGAGGTTTGTTGAATTCCGACAAATAAATAACACAAGAAAGCATATCACAAATTAACAATTGCAGCAAAGGCCATGAATAAGTTGCTGTTGCAAGAGAAATAACTAAATTTGGATCTGAAACCAAATCAAACCAAATAAAAGTAAATTTTGGATTGGAAAGAGGTCTTAAATCATGTAATAAATTAACTAAACATGCTAAGTTTGATGGTTCATTTGAACAGAGTTTTATCAAATAGACAAAAGATTTTTTGATGTTTTTGTCATTTGAATTTGAACATAAAACAAAAAGAGAGTTCATTAATGGGTCAATATAATTATTAAAATCAAGAAAACTCTGTATAGATATCATTGTTTTCTTTAATAGAGTGATATTACCTCTTGAAATCAAATAAATAAAGAAATCTCTCGGTGATTTCAAACATGTTTTCAATGATCTGACAATTTGTGTTTCATTTTGAGTTGTTAATGAATGTTCAAACCTTGACAAAGAATTCTGTACATCTAAAAGATTATTAACATCTAAATTGTTTTCTAGATTTATTACATTTTGATTTGAATTCTGTAAAAGTGACAAATTTTGTAAATCAAAGAATTTTTGATAAATTTTTTCTGACAAAGAAAATTCTTCACTTTGTGGATAAAAAATTATCAAAATAACTGTTTGTAAAAAGCAAGAAATATTAAAATAGTTTTTGTTGATGCAGAAATATTCAATAAAATTAGAAATCATCTGAGAAAATTGTGGTGTCAAAACCGTCGAATTCAAAATTTCTGTGAATGTAAAATCAACTTTTTCTATTGTTATTAAATTGCATCTAATAGCTATTTCAATAAAAGAAGGAGGAACTAAAACAGATTTAATAAATTTTGCTGTTTTGTCATAAACTTCTTCATATTTGTTCTTTTTCTCAAATAAATTAGATAAAATTAAACATAATATTTCATTCTCAAATACAGAATTTGTATTTGTAAAATAACCGAAAATAGTATTCAATTTTGTTGAAATTTTTTCAAGATTTTCATTTTCTTCAATTTTTGGAATGTTTTGGAGTAAAAGTGACAATTCAGAAAATCTGTCAATATCTGTTAAACTTCTAATATGATTATTTGATTCAGTTTTCGCTTCATTGATAACTTTTGACAAATAATCGTTCAAATTTGTGTCAAAATTCTGATTTGTCACTTCACTTATGTCATTTTTAATGAAATAACAATTTTTGGTTCTTGAATCAGATTCTAACGTATAAATTACATTTTTGTCACTTTTTGATTCAATTATTTCATCAATTTTACAAATTTCTCTTACGTTTTTGAATGATTTGTTGTGAGAAATCTCTTTAACAATGTTTGTTACCCATTCATTGTTAATATTACAAAAGTGAAGTGACCACTCAGTCATATCACTTTTTTCCTCTTTAAAAATATCTTTAAGAATTTTGAGGAAAACAGTTTTGAATGAGAAATAAAAAGGAAACGTGACAAATGATGCAGAAAACAATTCTGTTGTATAATAAGCCATATTTAACAGTTTTGTTTTTGATTTCACTTGTTTCATGTCAATGGTGATTTGCTCTTTAACCGTTTGTGTTATTGTATCTGATATATTTTGACTGTCACTTTTTATTAGATCAAAAAGTGACAAAATAATTTTTGATTTTATTTTGTAAAAATTATTTTTCAAGTCAGGAAAAACTAAGTTTCCTTCAATCAAAGAAAACAATAAGTTTTGGTCGTAGTCGCAAATCCTGTTTATTTGGCTCTCTGTGAACATCTTTTGTAGTGAAAACGGTTTGATTGAAAAATCAGAATTTTGAGAAACTTTGTCTGGAAAAAGATCCAAAAATTGGTTTATATTTTCTAAGTTTGTTCCGAAATGATTCAAAAGTGACATAACTCTGAATTTTATTGAACCTTTGATACCGGGAATGGCAGCAATCGATGCCAGGATCTGTAGAATTCCACTTGTGAATGGATTTGGAGGATAGAAAAACTTGGATGATTCATAAAAAAGTGACAAAATAAAAGAAATACAAGGATACAACTTTCCAACACTTAGGCAATAGAAAATGAGCTCTTTTATGTTAAGAATGTTGTTTGTAACGCATTTGGTCTGCATTAATGTCAAAATTCCTAAAAATTTTCCTAATAAAATTAATTTTGACTGAAGAATCGAATCGAATTGATTGTTTTCCATTATTATTGTTGTTACTGTGTATGATATAGCATAACAAACAGGTCTTTCAAAGTTATTTTGAAGTACAGACTTAGATAAAGAATCTAATTTGTTTGGATGCTCCGAAATCGCTTGAACTATCTGTAAAGCTATGTAATTTGTTTGGTTGGTGTGTTTTTCTAGTACAGATTGTATCGAATTCGAATCAATAAGCTGTTGAATCGATCTAACAATTTTTGTTGAAGGAACTTTGATTGTACTGAATGCGGAAACATACTTTGACATTGAGATTCCTTCCATTGTTTCAATGAACTCTTGGAATGCAAAAGAATCTATCTTTTTTGACAATTTATTGTATAATTCAGGATTTTTTGCAGCAAAATTGTCAATTTGTAGCAGAGAAGCTGCAAAGAAACAAAAAGAATCCATTAAATTCATGAAATTCTTCACGAAATTGCATGCAAAATCAAAATTTGTTGAATTTTTGAGGCTTTCAGTTATGAAATCAAATATATATGTTATGTGGATCTCTTCAACAAGTTTAGCTTTGATCAAATCAATAATTAACTTAATTAATAACAAATTTTCTTGTTCTTCATGAGAATTGATGTATTTTAGCTCATTCGTAATCAGGAACATCATATATTCATAAAATTGTCTATCATCTTTTTCAGACTTCTTAATTTTTTCAATAATATTATGAGAACCAGTTTCTCCTTTCATATAAGGATTCAAGATTTCTTCAACTGCTTTACGCATTGATTCTGTTACTTTGCATGTTTTGTAACTAAAATCGATCTTTTCTAAGCTTGGTTTCTTTTGAATTAAAGAATTATATTTATCTATTACTTTTTGTCTCAATTGCTTAGTGAAAGTTGAAAACTCGTTTTGCATCTTTAAGAAAAATAGATAAATTATTTCTTCTTGGAAAGAAAAAATTGAGATATCAAAATAATCCAAAAATTCGTCCAATCTTCCTTCATCTATTATCATTTCCATGTATTCCTGTGGTTGTATTAACTGATTCCAGATCGAAACTGATGCAAGTTGAATTGAAAAATTCATATCTTTTTGATTTAACAAAATTGAGATCTTTGACCTTGGTGTTTTTGATACTAATACTTGCATAAGGTTGATGTTGCCCTTTGCATATAAGTAACCAAAGTTTTTCATTTGTTTCGGATCAAATTCCCATAATTCTTGGATTTTGTTGTTATCTTGCTCTTGTGTATATAAGTATGGTAGTAATACATCAATTGCTGCTGTATCATTTGAGTGCATCTTCATCAGAGTAAAAATTATTTTTGATGAATGAGAATTTCCGCAGAAATTGAGGAGTTCTCGAGCTTTCTGAGGATTTATTGAATAAAAGTCTAAAATTATTGTAACAAATTCTGGTGAATCCCAACAGAAACAGTTATTAAATAAATAATTTGGATTTTCTGACCTCGCAATGTAAGATAGGTAGGCAAATTGGGCTTCAGGATGATTCCATTTCTTTAATAAGAAGTTTGTCTCGTATCTGTTTGAGTTTAAAGAAAATAAAAATAATGACAAATTTGAAAAACTGGAATCATTGAGTCTTGATAGCTCAGGAGTATCTAAATCATCATATATATCTTGTACACTTGATTGTTTCTTAATAAAATCAAGGATTTCATGTAAAATATTTTCGATTTCAGGTAAAGATTGAATATATGATGAAAAATCTCGATTATATGATAAAGCAATAAGTAGTAATCCTGGATTAAACTCGTATACCATGCTTTTAATATCTAAAATCGTTTCAATTTTTGTTAATTGATGATGATCATATTCGCTAACGATATCAAGTAGTGAAATTGAGTTGAAATCAAGGTTATTTAGTATAATAAGAGATCTTGTAGTCGTATTAAGTTTCTGTGTAATTTTATTATTTTCAATTTGTAAATCTTCTAATTTGGATAAAAGAAAGTCCGATAAACGTAAGTTCCTTATACTAGAAACACGTGGTATTAATTTGCTCTTCATGTATTCAATTGAAATTGCAGAATGATTTGAGTAACAAGCGGGTATAAGAAGATTTAACGCATTTTCTAATGATATCGATGTGAATACTTTCTTTGGAAAAAATGATATCTTGTTTAAACACGAAAGTGAAATGTCGAAAAAAAATTCTTTTTCGTTAAATAAGGAGATAGCATCATTAATGATCATAAATATGAATTTCATCTGCTTTTCGGATATAGATGCCTTCGAAAGTTGAGCAAATGATTCCAATAAAACTGTTTCATAAGTTTTTTGTGGGAAATGTGATGCAAAACCAAACAGAATTCCCGAAAATTGGTCAAATAACTCTTGTGTCAGTTCCTTTCTTAAATAATTTGTTATTTGTTTAGTTATAATTTCATTCATCCATATAAAAAATTTTAGGGTCTGACACCTCATTTCTAAACTTATTTTTTATTACATATCATGGACCAATAAATGATTTTTGATTTTTTGAAATTTGATATTAGAAAAGTGACAAATGACATATTTGAGCGAATTTGGAAGTGATTTTCCCATATCTAATGGCATAAAGTCTGTCTTTGATAAGTGTAGATCACTCAAAACAGTTACAAGATTTATCAGAACTCTTTTATCTGTTTGCTACGCGTATGAAGATAATTCTTTGCTAATTATCCCTCTTAAATATCTTCAAACATCAAAAGCATGCCGAGAAATCATCGATTATATATCAAATCCACAACAGAAACCATTTTCTGGAATAATTTTTACAAAGTTTCAATGTAAAATCACTGAAATTAGCTCATTACCATCAGATACACCTAAATTCATAGTTGTTCTTGAATCTGGCGAGTATATTACCTACTTAATTAATAATGATGCCGAACCAACAATAGTTTCAAAGAGATTTAGCATTGCTGGCCTTGTTGATACATGCAAAGTCTTTTTCCCATATTTAGCATGTTATGTTAAGGAAAATGACAAGTACAATGTATATGCAGCTTCATTAATTGCTCCTAATTTTACATTAGGAAAACAATGCATTACTAATAAGATTTATCCATTTTACGTTACTTCTCCTTCCGTTTACATCATTAAAGACGATGGATTATACGGTTGTTCTCTCGATGAAACTGGTCAAAGGATCTTTCCTCGAGAACTGTCACTTGTCGTTGAAGCCAAAGGTCTTGTACATATCAGAACCAACAGTGGCTTCTATTTATACCAGCCAGATACTTCAGAAATTTTAAGAGTTGAAGGAAGAAAAATTACAAGCACAAAATTAGATGAAAAAGCCCGTGAAGCCTCCATTTTATTTGCTATTGGTCCGGTTCTTATCGGTTTGTGCAAGAAATCGATTATTGAATTTGATTTCATTAATGGAAACGTAAAAGCTGAAAAAGAAACCAAAGAAACTGACTCTTGGATACTCAGCCTCGAAGAGAGCTATGGAGCTGTAATGCTTGGCTCTGGAGCTTATTCTTTATCCAGAACAAGCGTTCCTCCAACAATAAATCTCTTCGCAAGTCCGAAAGAGATCAAGGAACAACTTAAGAGAGCAAAGGAAGCAACAGGTACAGTTGCAACTTCAATTATTTTGATGGCAAACAGATCTCCTTATTTAGCAGCTGTTTTAATGAAAGATGAGCTCAAGGCAGAAATAGCTACTGCTCCTCCACCAGGATCATTGCAGGATTTCTTGCGTCCAACACTTATTAAAATTAATAATCTTTTGCAATCAAAACCAGAATAAAATGTTATCTTTCTATAAAGTATAGTTTATATCAATACGATTTATCTTTTGAAAATTCAATAAATTCATGAAAAATTAATAAACATTTAAAACTTATTACATTTGAGTCTTTTAGCTTAAATATAAAAATTCTTTGCATTAATGAAAATGCATTTTATAAAGCGTTTGAATTGAAATGGAGAGAATTTTTATTTGGAATTGAAATAAGCTTTGAGTTAATAAAATAAAAATCAACACTTTTTATTCGTATAAAATTAATAAAGGAAAGAGGGATAGGCAATTTCTTTCTAAACAGGATGAGTTTATTAAATTTCATAACGCCTATTATTCATCTTTTTCGTCTTCTTCCTCATTTTCTTCACTATTTTTATTCTTCTTCTGACTCTTTTGTTTCTTAATTCTCATAGCCATAGCTACTCTTCTTTCGCCAATCATCCTGCGAAGGATTTGTAAGCGATCTGATTTAGACTGTTCATCTTCCTCTGAGATTTCATGGTCAACTTTTTCTGTTTCTGCTTGTAATATTTCGTTTGCCTTATTTCCGGCAGCTTCTGCGAGAGCAGCAGGGATGGATGGCTTAGCAACCTCCTCTGCGGCACGCTGGAAGAGCCATGGCATGATCTGTTGATCGATTTCTCTTTCGACTTCATCATAAAAGTAATTATTAGCGTTAAGTTGTTTGACTACATCATCTGCAAGGTCCCATGTAAAGAATTCTGCATAACCGCGAGCAAGAATCTTAGCTCTGGCAATGAATTGAGCCTCTTCGATCTTCAATTTCTCTTGGACAATGCGTTCCTTCTCGGCAAACTTTTCTGCCTCGATCTTCTCGATATTTGCGACCTTCTCGGCCTCCTTTGCCTCGGCTTGGTTGAAAGCGCGAAGATAACGTGCCATATTGGCGAGTTCTTGTTCCTCGTGGAATTCCATCGAGGCGTCGTGTAGAGCTTTCTGTACTAATGTTGTAACAAATGGCTTAACTTGTTCGTTGAAATCGAAAAGATCTGTGCCTTGTGTTTTTGTTTTGACACTTACAGCAGTAATTGGCGGTGGTTTTCGATGAATAATTTTTGGATCGTTATAAGGATCAGTTTGGACTGCTATTTCTGATTCTTGCTTAACTACAATAATACTATTTTCATCAAAAGCGTCTGTCTGAGCTCCGTTATAACGAAAACCGTCTGGTGGACCATCTTGTTTTACCTCAAAATCTCGTGCTTGAGTCTTTCGACCATATGTAGGTATTGGTTCGATTTTCTCTGTTAATACGTTTCTTCTTTCGTAGGTTGAACCTTTATAAATACGAGGGTCGTGCGCAATATTGCACAACTGCTGAGTTGGTGCTAATGTTTCTCTATATTTAGGGCGATCTTGAACGGGGCGAGCGCTCGCTTGATAGGAGAACGTTCCTTCCATTGATAATAACGTATTTTTTCCAGCTCGATATTTTAGAACTATAAGTTAGTTACGGATATTAGTGATATAGAAAAATGTATATTTTGTTAAATTTCTAGAAAATTCTTTAGATAATTGAACGAAAGCCAAAAATTAAAAGAAAATAGCGAGAAGATATATCATGCAGCCTTTACACATCATCTTGATGCTAGATGCAAAAATATTTGAGCTTAAAATGTCTTCGAGGCAGAGTTTTGATTTGAAATCAATCCATCATAAAAAATTGAGAGGAAATTTTAAATATCATTTTATTATGCATGAATAATAGAACGATATTGATTTTTTTGGAAAATTTATTAAAAAGTGTCAAAAATGACATTTGTATCCCAAATCGAGCTAAATAATGATCTATGCACTTCTCAAATTAGTAAACATGATATTGACAATGTAAATGTCGATTTAACCCAAGTAGGAAACCCATATGAATACATCAGATTTAAAATTTGTGGGAAAGTCAATGGAAAAGAAGTTGTTCTTACTCCCCATGGAGGCTGGTACATTATGAATCTTAAAACTTCACAATTATTTGAATGCATCGCAGCAAGTTATAATTGTGAATATATTTATTTAAAAATGGACAGAAAAATGCTTCCAGGAGGTACCTGGGTTTCAGATGCATCTAGAAGAAGTATCAAATATAACAATATGGATTCAGGTTTTTATATGAATTATTTTCAAAGTAAATTCGATGATGAAGAGCTTAAATTCAAGATTTTAACATTCGAAAAACAATTTAAACGCCTAGTTGAAAGCAATTCTCTTCAACAGAAATTTCAAAATTTTCTTTGGTCCACAAAAATGGAAACAACAGATGAGATCCTCGAATACTTAGAATTTATAGTTCATGAAAGCATTTACAAATTCAAATATGTTTTAAATGGCCAAAACGTTAGAATTTCTACAATTTATGAAAATCTTTTGAATAGAATATTCGGCTTGTCGAACTTATCTTACATAATAAAATCAGATGTGGGATCAGCTTACGAAAATACCGAATCAGGTTCAATAACTGAATGTACTTATTCACTTAGACAATTTTCAAATGGTTTCGCAAAATATATTCCACTATACAAAGAGAAGCTTAATGATACAATTCAAGAAACTAAAAACTTAATTCTTTTGAATAGAAACGAGAAAAACTACGTCAACCAGTTCCTAGGAAGGATTTATACATTAGATAAAGCCAATAGACTTATGAAAGTCAAAAAGAAACGAAACGCATCTGCACATCATAGTAATTACAATTAAGATATCAAAATTTTAATAGTTTGCAAAACAGGTATAATTAGAATTTGGTATTCTCAATTTGAGTCCTTCTGTTTGATAAATTTCTTCGAAAAATCTTATTAAATCACAATATCCGAAATTTTTTGCCAAAAATTTTGGAGCAACTTGTAATTGCTGATTTATTAAGATTCTCTCATTCTATTTCTTATGTTTGGATTAATTTTTTCTTTATGTAAAAGATAATGTTGTTTGCTTCTTCTTTTTGTTTTTATCTTTTTGCATATTCTGCATTATTTCATTGGTTGCAGCTTTGAGTTCAGGAGAAACTTCAACGCGAGTTGGTGGAGGTAAAGATTCTTTTGTATTCTCAGCTTTCAAGCCATATTTACCTCCAGCAAACTCTTTCACCATCTTTTCAACGCCAAGAATGTCAACTGGATCTGAATATGTCTTGCGAGATAAATTTTGTAGAACATCATCTTTCTTATGACCGCGAGCAACTGCAATGCATAACAAAACTCCAGCATAAACAGCAGGACGTTGTAAACCAATATCATCTGGATCTCTTTCTTTGAGACCATTGTAAATTTCATTCGCAGTTGTAGCATAGCGTGTGGGTAGATTGCACTCCTCGGCTAATGAAGTAAATGAGATATTTATTAGTACGTTTAGCAATGTTCTGATTTCGTTTACCGATTTTATAAACATTTTCATGTTTTGTCCGCTAGTTTGAAGAAGATTTTGCAAAATTGTATCATTCATAACACCTAGAGAGATAGCGGCCATGCCAACACAGCTCCCTCCGTTTGGGGTAATTTGATAATTTGATTTCAACCTTGTATATAGATCAAGTGCTTTATCTGCAACTTTAATTGATGTTTCTAAATCTGGAAATCTAGCATTTTTAACAAATGGTGCTATAAATGTTTTTGGATTTAAACTCATATTTTGGCGCCAAAATTAAAAATGGCAATTTTTTGATGTTTAATGGATAATTGTAATAAACAACTCATAGAAATAATGGTTTCAATGATAAGCATGCAATTTAAAACATAATTTTTAAAAAATAAAATTTAGCTAAATAGAAAACCGATAAATAAGTGTTTACAAAGTAAAGTGAGTATGTAGAGCTAAAACCCGGCTGGTTTTGACTTGAACAAAGGAATAAAATGGTTAGATTTATTAATGCTTTTTAATACTTGGAATTTCTAGTATCTGATGCTACAAATGATTACAAAATGGATATTCAATTATTCAATAATTCAATCTCTTTTTCATTGATTATTGACCATCAAGATATGCTGTATAAGATAGACTCTCTATAATTCCTTTGTGATTTATGATCAGAAATGCAGGCTTGAATTCTAAATTTTTGTAATTATTGTTATTAAGGTTGCATGTGAAGCCTTTTGTATAATTTAATACCTGACCCATGTCCTCGAACCCTTCGAGATTTATGTATTTTGAAGGTAGTTGAATATCATCTGCTTGGAATAAGATATCTTCAATAATATAAAGATTATTATCGTATAGTAATTTATATGGAGCTAATTTAGATCGAGTCGGTAAACTCTCGACACAATAGTATGGCTTTTGTTTTGCATAGTTTGTGCTAGCCATTAAAAAATAATAAAAAATCCAACTAAAATTTGTAAAAAAAAAACTGAAAATTTGGACAGCCCTTATGATTTGGGAGGTGCATATATATAAGCCATGTAAATTTTGCACCAAATTTACCCTGTATAATATTACTTGTAATAACTTTGGTGGGCTCAAAATGCAGAAGTTGTTTTGATCATCAACTACTTCCATAATAGTATTTTCGGAATGTAATCTGAGTGTTTATAGATTTATTGAACCTCTTGATTTCATGCAATTCAAAAAAAAAAATTCAATAAAATTATAAAAACAAGTTTTATGAGAATGATATTAAAATATACATACAAAATAGAATTATATGTGTGTTTTGATTCTTATTCTTCAACAAGGGTAACAAATTCACTGATTTCTTCTCCACAAATAGGGCAAATTTTTTCGGCGGCATCATCTTCAGTCCAACATTCAGCGCAGCCAACAGGACGGTGGCAAGGGTATCCAAAAACAGTAGCATGATTGCCGCACGGACAAATTGGGAGATTCTTTAGCTTTAAATTGAGATATTTATCAAACTTCCTGAATAATCTTGAATCCATTAACATTGGATGAGCTTGGTACTGAATATTGAAATTATTTTTATTGAATTCATTTTTAATTTCAGTAATATATTGCGATGATTCTTTCTCTGCTTCCACGATAAGCTTTGTCTTATTTTGTTGGTTCATATTAAGATTGATTGCTGCGTTTCCACGTTCATAAATGGTAATAAATAGTGTACAGAGTGAGTTTATTGTTTTTTGTAGCTCGTCAAAAACACTCTGGTCTGTTTCTGCCTTTTTGACTAAGTCTATTGACTTTTTTAATACACTTGAAAAATACGGCTGTTTTTCAACTTTATCTAAGTTTTCGAGATTGGTTAAGCATCTTTTTCGAGCAAATTCGAACTTTGGTGAGCTTTTGTAGATTAGAAAACTGTTCACATTTCGCAAATAAATATTGCAGAATCTGCCTAGCTTATCAAGATTGAAATTGATCTCCTGAGATGACGTGCCACCAAAAATGTAATTATCGCAAACACTATAGAGATCATTAGCATCATAGTCAAAATCTTCCATTTTCAGATTTGTTTGATATGATCTGAAATCTGAAATTTTTTATGTAAGAATCAAATAGTACTAAAAAATAAAAACATCTTTATTAGAAAAACTCTCTAATGATTATAATTCTATTTGATGAATATTTGATATGACTATTTTAGAGATGAAATTCAATGTCATTCCCCATATGAGCTAAAGTATTCCGTGATGGATGGATATTTCTTAAAAATCAGAATGAATTAAACAAATACAATGGTAAATATATTTAATTAACAACAAAGATCAAACAATATATAAACAATCAACGCTACATATCAGCAATAATTTCATAAACGCTAGAAATTCTATAGGATTTTGTCAAAACATTCATAATTGTAAATAATTCCTTGTCATTTTTGTCATCATACCAGCTTGTAATTGGGATGGCATTATATGGTTGTAAGATGTAAGCCATCGGTGAATTATCAATAATAATTGTCTTTTTGAGATCTCTGCCAATCTTAGAAAGATCTTTAACGTGAGACCCGCCAAGATCCGAGCAACTCTCTCTATACAACCTATATTTAATATTTTTATCTGGGTCAATTTGATCGACAACGAGATCGGCGTAAAACTTTGTTGATGCTGTAAATAAAACTAATTCATAAAGCTCTCCAAGGGTTTTCAAGAAATCCTCGGCCCCAGGACGGACGCAAACATAAATGCCTAAACAATTGGCATCTACACCTATCTGAAAAGAAAAGTCTGCATTAGGTACTGCAATGAATGATGAATGAACTAGGGTTTCGTCTAAATCTAGGACTAATGTAATTTTCCCAGAATCAGATTGCAGCATTTGTGGTAAAAGAATATCATTTCCGTTCTGGATTGAATAAGAAGGAACGGGTTCCTTTTTAACTTCTTCCTCTTCAACCTTTACACTTCGACAACATTTTTTTCGAACTTTAGGTTCTTCGGTAGCGATGTGTGGGCCTTTCTGATCATTAACTATTTGTAATGATTCCATAGTAAATTTAGGTTGTTGTCCGGGTTTATTTGGATCTGGTGCTGAAGCAATGGGGGATTCTCCAGTTTTACGCATTTCTTCCTCAAACTTCTGTAGTACATCATTTCCTATTTGAATAACTTTTGTTTGGTGTTTGTTTTTACCTTTAGATTCATTATTACTCATAAAAAATTAAAAAAACGAACGTGTTTTTGACAATTTGAATGGAAAAATTTGGATTGATTTTTGTATTCCTTACAGTTCTGAGACTTTAATGCATTTACAGAGATAGACTATAAAATGCATTATCCAATAGCAAGAAATGAATTTTGACGAAATCTAAACTTTGTTAGCTTTATAGCATGTTGATTGACAAATGTTTTATTTAAAATCAAGATGTGCAATTGAAACGAGATATTTTCTAAGAATAACTTTAAATTTCTCTGAGCAATTCACAAGAAATCATTGAAAATATTGCAGCAAAACGCTAGAATGCATATTAAATTCGATCTCAATTATATACATATCTGGTCTGAATAGAGTCATTTCACCCAATACTTCATATTCAAGAATCTTGGAAATTTGCTATTACACTTAATATTTTTAAATAAAATTGTTTTATTCGATATTTTATGGCTGAATTTCCAAAATTATGATAAAATTCGAATGAAAATTCATTTTCAAATTTGATTGAAGAATAGTGTTCGAAGAATTAATGTACTACATTAGAATAGAAAATATATCGATTATTTAATATGAAATCGGGGAGAAATCTCATGAAATAAATGAGATATATTTGAAAATATATTAAAAAAGCAATGCAATGTAAAAGAAAATATTATATGAGGTTTAATATCACATAAGCATGATATTGTCCACCAATATCATTGCTTCATTATCAAATTCGTTAGTTCCTGGCGGCTCTCAGATAATGAAGGGGAAATGTTATTATTCCCTTTCATTGGGGAAGCAAATAGACTTTTTGGTGTTTCAATCCATGGAGAAACGAGTCCCATCCTGCTGATAGGAGATTGAAGAGTAAATGGGCTTCCGTTTGGAGCTAATGGAGAAATCAAACCAATTGTACCTAATGGTGTGAATGAGCGTTGAGTCCAGGATTGATCATCATCTGGAAGTAAAGATGGCCTTGGCATATCTTCGGCAGACTTTGGAACGAACTTAACTGATTTCTGTGATTCTGGTGTCATCATTTGAGAGCGTTTGCAAAGAGTTGAATTCCATCGATTTTTAATTGAGTTATCTGAACGATGTGGCATTAAGGAAGCAATTTTAACCCACTTATTTCCGAACTGTGAATGTAATTCCATGAGTCGTAGGTCTTCTTCTGGGGACCATGGCCCTCTGTTGATGTCAGGATCAAGATGGTTAATCCATCTTTCACGACATTGTTTGCCAATGCGTCCTGGTAATAATTCGGCCAATTTTGTCCAGCTTTTTGTTCCTTTTTGCTTCACAAAATTAATAATAGTTTCATCTTCTTGACGAGTCCATGATCCCTTCATTAAAGTAGGATCAAGTACTTTAGTCCAACGTTCCAAGATCTGCTGCGAAGACTTACCGTGAAAATGCTTGGCTATCTCGTTCCAATTGACTTTATCTTGTCCTTGAACAAGACTTGTAAGCTCAGCATCTTCTTCCGGAGTCCATTTTTGGAATTTTGTTGATACATTGTTACGTTGTCTAGTCCTAGTGGGCGCCATTGGTGCAGATGAAGTCACAGACATGAACACTGATGAATTCGGTCACTAAAAAAAATATTTTTTTTCAATATTGACCGTTTATTACCGTATTCTTCCTATGAATTTTTTTTACAGGCGTCAAAAATTTTCTCACTGGGTTTTCGTCTATCAATCCCAGCTCATTATATACGCAACCAATCAAAAATCTGATATGGGAGTCCAAGGCTAACTTTTTGTTGTCTACCTAATAAAAGAGGAAGCAGCATTAGTGAGAATAATCGCAAATATTCAATTTAAATTATCTTTTTATTCTTAATTTAAAGTGACAAAAAGAATAAAAAACCTATTCTAAGGCATGTTGTTATGTAAATGAGACTAGACATCATATTTTATGTTATGAAAAAAAATATTTAGAATTTTAGAACAAAATAAATAGAAAAAATAGCATAACTTATGGATGTGCGTATATTAAATGTAATAAATTAAGAGAAATTATTTTTGGCGCCAAAATTATTCGTTAACTCTCAAATTTTTCTGAGTCAATAAGCCGCCAAAAAAGTGTCATTTCTTTATAGGAAAGGAAACCTATTTGACGAACAATCCGGACACTAGTGCCTCAGCGAATTTCCCCAAACCCACCAATCCCCTCCCTGCTGTTGTGCACCATCGATGGAAAGTAAGTCATCAATAGTCTCTTTTCCTTGGACTTGAAATGTAAATCTCGGACGAAAGTAAGTCTGACTTGAAATGTAAGTCTCGGACGAAAGTAAGTCTGACTTGAAATGTAAGTCTCGGACGAAAGTAAGTCTGACTTGAAATGTAAGTTTCGGACGAAAGTAGTTAGTATACAAGTCATGGGTACGGCGGCACTGCGTTCCACCTTACCCAATACTTGTGAATTTGACACTTTACAAAGCCGCCAACCACTTCACTTCACTAACGAACTCACTAATGTAAAAATAAACGTTCTCACTATCGTTCTCACTAACGACTTCACTAATGTTCTCATAAATTTTCCTCAATATCTTCATCATCAGTGTTAACCCTATTGTAGTCATACTTGAAGCCATAAACTTTCTCTAACTTCTTAACGTACAATTTACATAACTTACCTTCGTCATCGTATGGTTTAATGATATAACTATTTCTATCTTTATACACAGTCAATGAAAAGTCAACTGGTCTCGGATGTATTTGAAAGAACATGTTATGCTCAGGAAGGAAGAATAAATGTTTAAATGTATGTTTGTTATACTGTGGAATTCGAATGAGTTGCTTTTGTTCTGTCATTTACATCCAAATAAAAATTTTCAGTAAAAATAAACTTAAAAATTAATGATATCACCACCCTCACATGTATGAAACATAAGCGTTCTCACGGGCTTCGCCCTCACCGCTTTGCGGTCTATCTAACTTCTTTCTTATATCATCTATACGCTTCAAAATGTCTGAACAATTGCTAACATCTTCTACAACAGTTATTTCATCATGAATGACCTTCAAGAACAAGCTCATTTAATATGCTATTAAAATCATCTCAATAATGAGTCCATCCTTTCCATCTTTAGGTAGCACAACATCTTTCATTGAAGAAGGTTCGACAAGTCTTATGTTAAACTTACTGACAAAGTTTGTTATACTATAATGCTTTGGCGGCGAATACATATAGTTTGAAAGACATAATATAGATTCTTAAGCAAATTCACTTATACTTGATTTTATAACAATGTTCTCACGAGACCAAATACCACCAATTGACAATCTTGTAAGCAATCCTGCTGAACCTTCTACTGTAAACGTCGATGGTAACATTCCACGAAGGTCATCTATTGACATCGTTGAGTCACTGAATTTAAAGATTTTCTTAAAGCAATCGTCATTATCTAACCATGCAATAGCTTTGAAGTTTTCATTCGAATATACATCTGCTTCATTAAATGTAAATCCTGACTTCTTTGCAGAGACGACTTTAAAATCTATTGAGTTTGTTTCAAAATTATATGCTATGGTAACTTCTGAAGGTAATGGATGCCCTTTCGCAGTCAGTTGTTGAGTATATAAGAATTTCCGAAAAAGTGACACCCAAAAAGTGACACTTTCAATAGGGAGTAACACTTAAAAAGTGACAATTTAAAATTCACAATAAATAAAAATAATAAATTTTTAGTATATTAAATTATTCTTTTCTTTGAAATCCTCTAAAAATTCTTCGAAATGTTCTAAAATATAATCTGGAGAATTATAACAAAATTCATTAATTTCTAACATATACGTATCTAACAATTCATTTGGAATTTCAAACGATCTTAAATATGTAATTGAATTTTGTATCTTCTCATTTATTTGAGAAAGTTTTTCTTCAGCATTTTCCAATAAAAATCTTAATGGATTCAAATTGGCTTCTTGATTCTGAACAAAATTTAATACTTGGTATAAACGTGATTGAACTTCTCTTTTCAATTTTGTTTTATAATCTGTCAATCGAGGCTCGCGAATTCTAATTGAAGGAATAAAACCTGTTTGAAGTAAATCGTTTTTAATACGATAAAAGTAATTGGGTGCAACTTCTTCTAAAAGATTTTTGACAAAAACATCAATTCTTTGATTTTTAACGCAGCCAAAATCGTGATATTTTATCTTTTTAAATAAAGATTCAGAAACGTTATTCACAACGGTTAATTCATTTGGTCTGGCAGCGGCTATCCACATCATAGCCAACAATTCCTTATACAAAATTCAAAAACTTGGGTGCAATCAGAACTGATTGCACCCAAGTTTTTGAACTTTCTTGAGGGAATTAAAGGGTGAGAGATTTATAGTCTATCTATATATCTCCCACCCTCTAATTCCCTCCCTGACAGCGGGAAACTTTGTCTGAATGTTAAACTATTCAGACAAAGTTTCCCACTGTTTGCGAAGGAATTGTTGGCTATGATGTACTGATTCATGATCAGTACATCATAGCCAACAATTCCTTATATAAAGTTCAAAAACTTGGGTGCAATCAGAACTGATTGCACCCAAGTTTTTGAACTTTCTTGAGGGAATGGAAGAGTAAGAGGTATACATTATGAATATATACCTCTTACCCTTCCATTCCCTCTCTGACAGCGGGAAACTTTGTCTGAATGTTAAACTATTCAGACAAAGTTTCCCGCTGTCAGCGAAAGAATTGTTCCATCTGGTGCATAGAGTGTGAATCTATGCACCAAATGGAGCAAGTCCCTCGCGAAATTGCCAAAACTTGCGTCGCATTTCAAAGATTGCGACCCAAATTTTGGCGATTTCTAGTAGAGATGGAGTATTTTGAGTCACTGACCTATATGCAGTGGCTCAAAGGGCTCCATCTCTACTTTGAAGCAAGGAAACTTTCCTCGAAATTTTGATAATTTGAAGAAAGTTTTCAAGCAATTAACAAAGGATTACTCGCTATGAGGTAAAAATTCTAGATTTTCACCTCATAGCGAGAGCTTCCCTTTCATTGCTTGAAAACTTTCCCCAGCTTCAAAATTGGGGAAAGGGCTGTAAAGTCGACTCCGATACCAGCAGGTACCAGAGTATTTAAAAGAGAAGCCCTCGTACGAGTTTCTATGAAGACCTTCTCATTCAAGAAGATCTTAATAGAAAATCGTACGAGGGCATTGGAAACTCGCGTCTGGTACATGTTGTACCAGAGTGTTTGAGATTTGAAGACTCTGGTACTAACATGTACCAGAATTTATGATGAATTTAAGATGGACCATTATAAAATGGTAGCGGTTTGTTTCAAAAAAAATTAGATGAGATTTGCATAGATATAGATTATATGATTTATACATATGAAAAATAATATATAAAAATATAATTTTGAGATAATTATGTAAATAATATTTTAAATATTTGAATTTGAGGTATAATTTTATAGTAAAATATATTATAAAGAGTATTTATATAAATATTGTAAAATAATATAAGTAATAAAAATTGAGACCCCCTCCCTGTTTTTGATGTTTTGTCACTTTTTCGGTAATTCTTATTGTTTCAAAATCTATTGAGTTTGTTTCAAAATTATATGCTATGGTAACTTCTGAAGGTAATGGATGCCCTTCCGCAGTCAGTTGTTCTCTCACTACCGTTTGAAGCTTTGTATTAAAAACTTTCATGTCATCTCCTGTATCTAAGTTCACATACACAGCAACAGGGAAACTATCTTGCTTCTTTGTTTCATCATTATATCTCAAAACATTAAAGTTCTTCAATAATATTGTTCTTCCTGCTGGAATACTTCGAACCTGTCTGATTTCAATAGCTTTCTCACCTCCTACATACTCTACCCAGTGTCTTGGATATTCATAAGTATACTGACTTTCTTGAATTTTGGTTGGTTTCATCATAACGTGTTCATAGTATATCTTTATACTCTTGTCAGTTAGACTCGGTGCTATGTTCTGAATATTTCTGACTTGCATTTTTAATGGAGATAAAATGAAGCATTTAATACATGACGTAGATGAAGACATGAATGAAAGCAGTGAAAAGCTCAACAGTTCTCTCATTCTTCCTTTCAGTAAGGACTATGAATTCTGTTCAAATGGTGTGTATTTCTATTGTAGAAAGATGGGTTCAGGTAAGACATTTAATTTAATTCGTCATATACTCATAACAGAGCGTTTAGGAAACGACTCTTACTATGACCAAATCATTATATCAGCAACTTCAGACTCTATGGATTCAACAGCGAAAACATTTATGTCAAAAGTTCAAGCCTCTGTCGTTAAAGTTCCAGACAGTGAACTCATTGAATTTCTTCAACGTTACATTCGACGTAAGAGGAAATATTATGCCATCGTTGAATTTATACAGTCAGGAATACAAAAGACTTCTGAGGAGATGGAAAGAATTATTGACAAACACCACTTACGTCAATACTCAGGAGTATACGATATGAAACGACTTACAAATTACATTCTGTCAAAACTTTCAAAATACCCCTTCAAAAAATATCCTTCAAACACTCTGCTCGTTTGTGACGACTTCGCCGGAAAAGGTTTAGTGTCAAAACCAGA